CAGAGGAAGGAACTGGCAAAAACACTTCTAAGTGTCCCTTGCCTAAGATATCCCAATGCAAAAAATTCATGGGGTCACCATTAGTCAACAGGCAACTTCAAGGCACATATACATACAAGCCTGCTGGAAAGGGCACACCAGGAGATATGCTGCTTCTTTCTCCCTTGATGTGATTTTTCCACCTGGGATTCCTGCTTGGAGAAAGATCACAGCAGAAGAACAGAGTTCTTACAAGTTGTTCTCTGTCTGTGTGCTCCTCTGGAGAAGATCTGTAGTCTAATGACAAGCCATTCTCCCTATCCAAGGACCTCCCTTGGGATATGCAGTTGCTACCTGGCCCCTCTGGAGAACATCTGCACATTTCTCTAGCCAGGAACACAAAAAGGTAAACTGATGTTTTATACTTTAAAACACTTTTATACTTTAAAACTGGTGGCGGGTACAGTGGCATCATTAACTTTGTGTCTACTTATTCTCTATTGGAGAGAGCTGTCATGGTATAGTGCTTTGAGCATTGGACTGTGACTCTGGGGACCAAGGTCTGAATCCCAGGTTGGCCATGAAACCCACTGGGTGACCTTGGACAAGTCACATGCTCTCAGCCTCAGGGGAAGGCAATGGCAAACCTCCTCTAAACAAACCTGACCAAGAAAACCCCATGATAGGTTCACCTTAGGGTCACCATAAGCCAGAAACAACTTGAAGGCAAACAACCACCACAGCATATCATTACTTCCACATTACTTTCTCTAGTATTCATAGCACATAAAATTATCCTTTGTGTGCATACTTTGCATATCATTGTACAACATTGCCTTTACATTACACGTTTTGTGTTTCTTTTGCACTTCGTCCCAGCAATTTGGTTCTGTTGACAGGTTTTGCCCATCAATGAGAAGGATCCCTCCAACAACGGATGCACTCCAGACCAGCTACTGGACAGACATGGCATTATGTGATAAGCTACAGCCATAGATGCTATTGTCCTGCTGTAATTCCACTTTTCGAGCCTTGTGTGATAAAGTCCCTAGTGCAGGGTGACCAGATGTTATAACCACAGAGGGGGACAAGGCATTGCAAAAAGTAGGATATTAAAGAAAAATGGAGGACATTGCCAAATAAAAGCTTAAAAAAACACTAATATAAATGTAAATCTGTGCTTCTTAGTCACACTCAAAATGGAGGACATTTTGGAATTCCTCCTCGACTGAAGGTTGAAATGTAGGATATGTCCTGGAGAAAGGAGGGCATCTGGTCTCCCTGCCTTAGTGTCCATGGGCATACAGATTGCCAATTCTTGCACCAAATGTAGATGTTCTGCATCAGATAAAAATGTCCATTCCCTTCCACAGAAAATTGATGTCCATGTGAGACATGGTTTCCAGCCATCATGGTTTCATTCCCAGCCTGGCTTTGACTGGAGCTGATGTGTGTTGGGTTGTTTCTCTCTTGGTTGCTGACAAGCATAAAAGCACCTCTTTTGCTACTTGATCGTAATGGTTAATTCATCATACCAGGAGCTGCGTCTGACCTCTGTGTGTCCCAATCCTTCCATCACCTTCACACCTGCCCAAGCTAATTGTTAAGAGCCAAGTGTAAATGAAAAGCAACCGGGCCAGTAATGAATGGAGGCCATTACTTGCAACAACACGCCGGTGGATGAAGGTTTATCAAGCCACGCTTACGCCTTCATCGTGGCTCCCTGGCTTTGAGAAAGAATGAAGATCATGCAAAATACTTTGTCCCAATCCACAAACACAAGACACTCTTCAAAGTAAGAAGCAGAGCACATTCTTCTCAAAACAGAAGCAAATGAAATTCCCAACTGTCCAGATTGAAGAACTCCAACAGATATCATTTTCTCAGCATGAAAAGATAAGAGTTTTATCATCTCCTCCACCTTCTCCTTTTTTAATTTATGTTGTTTATTATTGAATTGTCCTAGTTCTCTGCCTCGATCCATGGAAAGAGGCGGATAAGAAATCAATATTATTATTACAGTGGCCCCTCCACTTTCCCTGGGGTTGAGGTGAAGGACCCCCATGAATGTGGAAAACCCACAACTAAAAAAATTATTATTATTACCTAAGAGAACAACTCTCCAAATATCTCCAGGTCCTCTAATGAAGCTCTATGGTCATCATCTGCCAGATGTTGATCATAGAATCACGCTGGAAGACCTACAAATGCCTAGAGAATTGTTTTCTCTAGGAACATCTAGGTTCTCCAGCACAACTCAATGGTCAACTTCCAGCAGAATTGAACTGGATTGACCTAGAGATTCCTAGAGATATTAATCAAAACCGCAAATAATCAAATCCACAAAAGTCAAAGCTGCAAATGTGGAGGGCCGACTGTATTTATTATTCATTAGTATTCCTCATAAGGAATCTTGGTTGAGTGAAACATAACAAAGCCAAGTAGAGGAAGGTGGACAAAAAGTCATGGTTGAGGCATTCTTTGGGGGATTGTCCATTCATTTGGAACAGAGGTGTGCAAGCGATGCCATTAGCAAGCAAGAGGAGTTTTGCAAAATGAGCTCAGTTGGCCAAAGACAGAACAATAATTATGCTAACCAAGAGTTGAATGGATGGGAACTTTCTTCCCCGAAAGGAAAGAGAAAGAGAAGAGAGACCAGTCTATGATGCCTGTCAACACCTGAGCCATCACCGGAGCCATAACTAGTCAAGAGTCCCCTATCAAAGGCTGACACTCCTTCCCAGTCCACGCTCTCATGTTTGAGCCTCATGGTGGTCACAACTCCTTTAACAATATTTATAATGAAGGAGCAATGTTGGGGTGTCAAAGCTGATTATTCATAAAGGCTCCTCCTGCTTGCTTCTCCCCTCGGGCGAAACTGTCGAAGTACCTGATTCCCAATTCTCAAACACAAAAGCGACGAGAGCTTGAAAGCCGCCGCGCTGACTAATAAAGTTTGCATATATCCCTAAGAACAAGAGCACACAATCAAGAAGAAAAGGAATGGCAAGATTAAACAAAAGCAGTCAGCTCGGATGGGAAATAATAAAAATTTCAAGAGGTGAGAACTTAGTGGGTTTCTCTGCTCTCGCTTTCTCTCTTTCCTCCTCCTCTTTCCCTCTTTTGACGACGGCTCATTTACATTTCTGTGTTATCCAAAAGAAGCATCTGCCCATATATTTTTTTTATCTCTTGACATTCGGCATCAAAGGTTATTAAACATCCAGGTACTTGAAACAGATTTGGGGAGACGAGGGAGCAGGCCCCTACCTGCCACCAGTTAAAAGGTCTCTGCTACCAACTTGCTTTGGAAAAGAGAAAGGGGGAAAAGGGAAAGGATGGAGACCATCAAGAGAAACACCTGGATCACTACCTGCCTCTCCAACTGACTTCCTCTTCTATGGTGGCGGAGTGCAAATACTTACATGGATGCTTATGAAGAGATCTGGTGGACAGCAGGGATCTGGAATGTATCCACACTGCAGAAATAAAACAGTTTGACACTATTTAACAGCTCTTCACCAGCTGTTTATTATTATTATTATTATTATTATTATTATTATTATTATTATTATTATTATTTTGTCGGATTCCATAAGATCGTACATTTTCCAAACCCACTCTTGAATTTCCGGTATTTCTTTCTCTTTCCATTTAGCCACAAATAACAGTCTAGCAGCTGTCGCTATATAGAATATAAGTTTCCCATATTTATTATTTAAGCTTTCATCTCTAACCATACTTAAAAGGTACATTTTAGGGTTCATCCAATGTTCCACTTTAAGGATCTTCTTCATCTGCTCCCATTAGTTTCTAGCTATAGGACACTGCCACCAAGTATGGTAAAATGTACCAATTTCAGAACAACTCAATGGTCAACTTCCAGCAGAACTGACCTAGAGATTCCTAGAGATATTAATCAAAATCGCAAATAATCAAATCCACAAAAGTCAAAGCTGCAAATTTCTAGCAGGAGTTTGTTGCATTTTAAAACATGCAAATTTCACTTTAAGCAAAGTTCAATACACAAAATGAGCACTTTTTTCCCTCCATGAACCGAAAACTGTAAAGAAGATGCCGCTTGAGGTTGGTCAAACTGATGCACCGAGAACACCCAGAAAAATCTTGCTAAGAAAGAGATTCTCCAATATTCTCTGCTACATGTTTATTTTAAAGCAAATGGATGGTCACCTATGTTCTTTGTTTCCTTACAAAAATAAAATAATAAAGTAAAATAAAAGCATTTTCTTTCACTTTCTTAGAGAGGCACGCTTGCTGTTTTGAGAACATCTGCAGGAAATACATCTGCTCCATCGCTGTGAAATCTCCGTAAACACACTTAAAGTAATCAATGGGAGTTTAATGTGCAATTAGTGTCTTATTAAATCCAAATGGACTGCCTCCTACCTTGGCAGCTCCTCACCCAAATGACAAGATGCTCTTGACTTGCAGGCTGCATCTGCACTGCAGAATTAATGCAGTTTGATACCACTGTAACTGCCATGGCGCAATGCTAGGGAATTTTGGGATTTGTAGTTTGGTGAGATATGTATAGCCTTATCTGTCCAAGAGCTCTGGTGCCACAGCAAACTGCAAATCCCAGGATTCCATAGGATGCAGCCATGACAGTTAAAGCAGTGTCCAACTGCATTAATTCTGCAGTGCAGATGCAGCCTAAGACACTGAAAATTGTTCCTACATAGAACTCTTCTGTTTGCTGTGTTTGCCTTCTCTTGGTCACTTTCTCTTCCCGTTTTCTCTAGATGCCAAACTCTATTTCTAAATGTTGAAGTTTTTAGTTACTTTGAAATTTGGAGGAAAATTTCATTTGGAGATAGAGGATGAAGTTGAAGTTGTTATATAATTGTTTTCTGCTTTCAAGCCATTTGCAACTTATGGTGACTCTAAGGCGAACCGATCACAGGGGGTTCTTGGCAAGATTTGTTCACAGGAGTTTTGCCATTGCCATCCCCTGAGGCTGAGAGAGTGTGACTTGCCCTAGGTCACCCAGTCGGGTTCCATGGCTGAGCAGGGATTTGAACCCTGGTCTCTGGAGTCATAGTCCAACACTCAGACCGCTGCACTAGGTTGGCTCTCATTGTACGTTATATCTATATTGCATTTGTTTCAATTTGTAAACCAGTTTGAATCCGGTTCTGGGAAAGAGGAGGCATATAAATTAATTAAGTGAACAATTAATCTACTATCATGGGGTTTTCTTGGTAAGATTTGTTCAGAGGAGTTAGTGCCATTGCCTTCTGCTGAGGCTGAGAGAGTGTGACTTGCTCATAGTCACCCAGTGCATGTCATGGCCATGCAGGGATTATATATATGTTTATGCATATGTACACACACACACACCCCAGTCTGGCTCTTGCAGAATCAAATACTATGCATTGAAAGTTCATGAGAGCAAGCAAGTAAAATAACACCTTGAATCCCAACTAGAGTAGATCTATTGAATCCACAGAAGCAGATACTATGATCTAAACAGATCTACAGTTGACTCTCCATAGCCACGGATTTTTTATCTATGGAGTCAACCATCCATGGTTTGAAAATATTCCCAT